GTTTTTCCCTTTTCCATACTGCTTTAGGTCTAAAGATAAATCGTCTATTTTGAAGTAAAAGTGAACAGTAAACTCTTCAGTAACTACTGATAGAAGTGATCTTTGGATTTGACTGTTGAAAGATCAAATGGCCCTATAAGTTGACTTGTGCACCTACCAAGATGGAGGTGAGTTATCAAATCAGATCTTATGGAAGCAGTATATAAGTCATAGCCAACACAAATAGAAACGAGAAACTCAAGCCGAAGACCTACTAGTAAGTATTCTAATGACTTTCAATAAAATTTCAAATTTTCGCAATGATGTGATTGATTCCTGTCACATTTATGACTCACTTGCACTTGTTACTAGTTATTAAACTTTTGAACTGCTGAAAAATTTGGGCACAGCGTGAGGTGGAGTTGTGGCGGAGAGCGCTCTTACGAGGACAGCATTTACAGGTCGAATGGAACTCCCAATTCTGAAAAGGTCAATTAAGAGTTCCACCATGAAAAAATACTACGTGTATCTTACTGAACTGAATGAAAAAAATCGGAATAGTTTTTCTGCTTGCAGAGATGCCACATAGCCAAAATACTGGCTGTTTTGGTATCGGTTAGTCCTCTCATAGAATGCGCCCCGCACTCCATTTCCATTTAGGATCGCACTGACACCTTGAATGGCATATGGCCCATATATACAATGATTTGCGGTAGGCATAGAAGGCTCGATTACCTAGATGTTTACCAGTGTTTACCAGTCCAGGATTCGATCCCCGGACTATGCGTGGGGTAGTGCGTGACTTGGCACTGGGCCAGCTCCGCCCCGCAATCCTTGCTTTACCATTTTTCGAGGAACTTTTAACTGAGCGCTACATCATCGAGAATTTCAATGGAGAATACCAAACAATCAGTATCAGACTTAGACGTAAATAAACGTTTACGAAAAACACGCGCGATAGAAGTGTGCATTACACCTACAAAAATCGGGTGTGGAGCAGTAGGAACGAAATGGTCGCGTCGCGGTGAGAGGGACGTCGCGCGCGAAGGAATGTAGCAGATGCAGCAGTGGGTAAGAAATACAAGAACAAAAGTACTAATAGTAGAATTATGCATAAAATAATGTTCGCATATCGATTGAGCTGTATGAAGAACGCTAGAGCTGTAATAACGGCGAATGAGTGGTCCGCGACAGCCGCGTGCGGCGAATCGATTACCCAAAAACGTTCCTAATGCCCGTCTCCCATAAAAATCAATAATGTACAGATCAACATTGGCGCAAGGCACAAATCTAAGCTTGGTTACTGCACGGTACTTAGACAAAAAACCTAAGCTCATTTAACTCACACAGTCATTGGTAACATTTTCAGTGGTATAGCAGAAGTATGCAAAACGAAATGTGAAAAAGAAAAGTAGTAAATTGAAAGAAATGCATATACAAAGCAATTAAACACAAATTACTCACTTTATAGAATTGTCCTTCAGAACGCGAACATGAAAAACCATTCCAGCGTTCGTCACAATAACATCACATCAATTTGACGTTCAATTACTCCAAAGAAACTACGAGCATCTTACAGAAAAGAGAGAAAAGACTTTACGTGACCACGCGTAGCCACGCGCAGCCTTTGCTATATCGATTTCAAATCGATCGAAGTGGGATCAGATCAGGTGGCCATGCGAAAGGCTGCTCCCTTTGTGGAAACCCATGAATCCGTATACGGGGCCCGAAGTGAGCGGGGAGGGGTAAGAAGTAAGACGTCATGAGAACCTACCTACCATCAATTTACTTTCTAACAAGTGTTACTGGGAATGGAGAAAAAGTACAATTAGTTTGCGCTGTTATAATTCACTCATTGATTATTGACTGGCAATCACAATTTAATGTGTTCATAGTCACAGGGTTACTGTAAACCCGCCTCGCCGCCAGGTGGCGCAGTGGTATAGAGCGCGGCTGCCTTTCATCGTACGCACTAGAACGGATCGCTCGAAGGCGTTCCTGTAAGCACTCCCTTCGTTGCTCAATATTGTACATTTCCATTCCCTTTACTAGTTGGTCGCGTTGCTGACTGTCATCCAAGCCGGCTGCGGCTTCTTAGGAAAGAGGAAGAAACGTCCATAACAAAGTTTATTAGGATACTCTCACCCAGACAGCAATCGAACGAAAAATCGTTGTTGCTTGTAAAGAAAAAAAAATCAGAAATATTGACATCAAAATAAAGCACAGAAATATGGTAAAAGAACTCTCAAATTCTGGGAATATTGATTAGGAATTTGACCTATATTGGTTGCCACATGAACAGCATAGAAGGGGATAACAAATATATGTCATACATATTACTATCTTTTTTTAAGAGGAAACAAATATTCACATGAGTAATACGGTAATACGGAAAGATAATGTATATGTGAATGTGAAATAGATTTTTCGTTAGTTCAAACGACACCTTTAGGGTCAATGGAATAAATACATCGTACCGGTTTATCTAGCAGTTAACCCAAAGTTATCACAGTTTTATGTTGCACAACGAAGCAAAAACAACCCCAATTAAGAAACAATATAGTGAAAGCATTTGTAAATAATTTTAATAGAAACAATGTTCCTCAATGTGAAATATTATGGTGACTCTATCATAAGGAACTGTCATAAGGACACAGCGAAGAGGAGGATTCAGCTTGGGTGTCATACTCGGGGAACAACTGACGTACCCCCATCGAAGGATTAGCGTGTAGTCTTTGTGTTATACAGTAGCAGTACTATGCTTATACAGTGATAGTAACTCTTACTACAGTACAGTTACAATTTGGAGCTACTACCTCTGTAAATCAATCCAAAAAAAGCGATTTTAGGGTCATATAACCGTGGCGGTTACTACTTGTCCTCGTTTGACTTTGGTTGTTCGACTGTTGGCTTTGGCGTCTTTGGTTCTACAGCTTCAGTTGTGGTGGCTTTCGTTTCTTTCTCACCGTTGGCAACTGCTGGTGAAGCCTAAAGTAAGTTCTGTAAAATCCGAATAATTCTTATAAATTTAATCAATTTGTAAATTTTTCCGGTTTTTGCAGCTGTGTAACCACTTTACAACACAGTACAGTACATTACGATGGCAGCTAAGTAGTTGCGTATATTTAATGAAAGTAAAAAATAAATAGATCTTTTTCACAAAAGAAAAGAAATACTCACTCATTTTTTATATTGTTCATAGCAAATGAAGCATCTAATCTACAAGTATAATCCACATTGAAAAATAGTTTGTTACCCTCCAAGCTTTCACTTACAATTAGTTGCCAAACTAATGCAGTTAATAAATATAACTATAATAATAGATAATATACGATACAAACTATAACTACAGCAAAAGAATGCAAAAGTAACAAAGTCGGAGGTTATCGGGCCAAATTAAAGCTGTGATCAAAAAGGGCGCGCCGCATTTGGGCTATGAGAACTCGTCCTAATCAAGGTTGCTTGCATGCTTCGAATACTTACTAGTAAGCCCTTCTACGATCACAAAAGTGCTGAAATGAATATTGATTCACATTCGGAAGATTCAGTAATAGCCGAACAAACAGATGTACACTTCTGTGATTACCAAAGGAAGCTGAATACATGGCGCATCCAGAATGGGATGATCGAAACCATTCAATTACCCATGAGAATGAGAAGGAAAATAGGGTATGAAAAAAGGAAGAAGGTTTGAAGAAGGAATCACTAAAGAACATATTCTTGAATAATCGTACTTATCATATAGTACTAGTATATTAATTTTTTTGTATATCCAGTTATTTTCGAGCTAATATTTATCACTATTTACAACTCCAAACTTTACGAAATTACCGTACCTTTGGATTTCCGCCATGACTCGTAGCTATGGAATCTTTTTTATGTTTGTAGATGACGTCAGTTGTTTGAATTTCACCTAAACATTTATATTCTTGCAGATTCTCGATTACTGTGATTAACAATAGATGATTACCAGTATTCAAATTGAAAAACCGTCCACGAACACGTCCATCTTTTTCAATTGGAGACCACCAATTCACTAATGAGCCCATGATCGGTAACTGTCGAATTACTCCCTAAAAATTGCATTCAACAAAATACTTGAAAGATGAATTTCAGAAAACTAGTTTGAAATTGATTGGTCTAGATTTGATCTAGGAAGACATAATGATCGAACCTCTTGCTGAAGACGAAGATCGTTTTCTTTCTTGAGATCTTCGTTGGCAGCTTCGATTCCTTGGCGGATCAGCTCTGCTAGACTGTCCAGATACTAAACCGACATGTCTAGTTAATAAGTATTGATTACGGTATTTCTCATTTACAGAAGAAAATGGTCATACGGAGCATTTTTTCAATATAGAGCAGAAAATCTGTAATCAGCTGATCCCACCTGTTGGTTTGTTTCAATTTCGGCTCCTTTCTCAGCAACCATTTTCAATAGATCGGCCAAATCCTTTGCATCGGACAGCATTCCAAACTTCACACAAGCTAACTGAAATGTTGACCTCAGTAAACTGGTAAATAGAAATTTTCGAATATTTTTAATTTAGTCAGAAAATGGAGATCCAAAATTTGGGTCTGTAAATCGCCAAAACAGTCACCATCGAAATTCAGTGACGTTAGAGCGGTAAACAAGTATATAAGAACAATAAAGTACAATTATTAGCAAAATATATATAAAATAAAAATGAAAAAAACGAAAGTAGTAAAAAATTCTAAAAAATTGAAAGAAAGTCGAGAATGAAATTTAAAAAAATATAATTGTAGAAAAATTGTTCTATCTGAAAATCCTACAGAAAAAAAGTATGAAGTGAACAAATGACAGCTCGGAAAGCTAGGAGTTGATTGATCTTCCTGTGTGTCAATAGGTCCGGAGGTGGCCTCACGAAGGATAGTTGCAGCGTAAAAATTTTTATTTTGAAGTAGAAATAGAACGGTTTCACTCACACCACGAGTCGAACTTTCTCCAGCAGAGAAAGCCGAGTCAACGGAACGTAGTTGATGGACGAGTTCCAAGTTCATGTGGGATACCTGAAATGGGCCGGATGATTACAAAATAATCTCTGGTTTGAGAAAAACAATTTTTTTGCGAGAAGCAGCGATCATACCTGTTGTTTTTCCTTGTCATCCCATTCAGATGGTGATTTATTATTGACAATTGACGGAACATAACTGAATACATGCATATGAACGAGGTCCCCTATGGGGTAAAGGTCCTACGAACTAACCAAACAGCTCCAACGCCAGCCCATTTGTGTACGGGGACCACGACCAGAGAGGGATATTCGCTCTTCAGCTTTTCAAAGTTCTCCCTGGCAGCCACCGTTGAGTCAACGATCTTCAGTACGCCACCGAGGAGTCGTATGAACTGTTGGACATGGTCAACGTGAGACGAGAGGGCTGGAATGATGAGNAAAGGTATGCAAATGATACCGAATTAATTTTTTTTAATCTCAAACAACCACACTTGAAGCATAGAAAAGTGGTTGCACAAAACCTCGAAGTAAGAACAAGGCAGTATGCGAACAATGTTTGACTGGGCTGAGTTATCTGAATTGCATCTGATTTGGTGGTAAGAGATGCGCGCGGTCGCGAAGCGGCCTTAAGTCTACATGCGAAAAAATCGTCCAGAAAGTACTAGTATGTTGCACTAGTTATAAATATGCAGATGCTGTTTACCTGCAGCATGTTCCAGAGGGCAGAAGCGGAATGCGGTTCCATAAGTGCCACCAAGTTCGATCATGTGAATTCCTAATGATTGGCATTCTCCCACGACACCTTGCCCGAGCTGAAATATTGATTGAAAATATTGATCAATGAAGTCATGGGAGTCTAACAAAAAGCTCACCCAAGAATTTAGCGAATCCCCATATTCCGATTCGTCACGAAGACGTTTTTCAGCTTCAGCAATGGCCTCCTTTGTGGCCTCGGTATCGGACTTTTGGGTTAATTCTCGTAGAGCCTACAAAAGAATAGACACTTTATGAGTACAAGAGTTAAGTAATAGTTCGCTTCAAAGTAATAATCAACCTTGGCAGCTTCCTTTGCAGCGTTGTAACGGTACTTGAAAATGAGTACTGTCGGGGCAGTATACTGGTTCTTATAAACTCTAGTAACAAACTCGGCTGCATTTTCCATTCCAACTACTTCAATCTGGGGGAATGATGAGAGGCCTTTCAGCATCACTTTACACTGGAATTAATTATATAAATTTACAGGCACCAGCTTATTTCAGTATCTACCACTTACTAGTAAGTATGCGTTCTCGATGGTGTCAGAGATTCCTTTGCTAGTCAGCGTTTGCGTGACTACCCACCATGGTAAGGTGTCCAGTTTTTCACGGTAAGACGGTTTATGTCCTTCAACTGTTCTGTATAGGGTCTGGAAAAAATTTTATAAATGGTTGTAAGGTAAAAAATTGAATAATTCTCCAAAATTTTTCTAATTTTACAAAACTCACCACAACAGGTGCCGCCGGAACACCTAACCAAAGAGCCAGAGGGAGGGTAACGCTGTCCACTTGGGTAAGTACATGCACCAAAACTTCCGTCGGCTCACGAAGTGTCAAAGCTGCCACTGCCTAGATTAGGCATAATGAACTTACTCAAGTTAATCAGCACACTGGTAAGCTTTTATTCATGATTTATTCTTGGAAAATTATTTATAAGACGATTTCCTATAATGATATAACAGCAAGACTAAAAATAAAATAAACAAAATAAAATAAAATAAAGTAAATAAAATTGAGACTAAAACTTTTCGTGATTCAAGTGCTATGAATTTTCTACTAATAAAAAAATCGCATTGTTTTGGCTCTAATGTATTCAAGACGTAGTGGCCATGTGCATAGAACGGCTACGATTGGCGAACAGAGGTAATCCACCAATAACAGGCTCACTTAGCTATCTTTCGCGGCGATGCAACAGTAATGGGCAAGTGATGAGTTTTATTAATACATGGGCTTTTTTTCTCAAATAAAAGTCATCACACCTGCGCTTACCTGTCCAACTGTATGCAGCCAGAAACGATGCTTCTTCCGTATTTCGAGCAATTTCGAGACCATGTCATTCTGACCAAGAATCGTTGAGCCAACAACCGTTATCACTAATAGCGGTGTACGACCAGCGGCCACATCCTCTTCGAGAATTCGTTCAAAGGCATGATGGTCCTGAACGGATTTCAGCTAGACGAGCTGAACCAGCTACTAATCACAGTTGTTTTTAATCAGTCCGACAGAAGGGACTGAAGATGACAAGTTTTTATCTGGCTAATATTAGATAAGCGATTTTTTTAACCTTCTGACCGAAATTTAAATTGGCTGATAATGCCATGGACTGACAAGTTCTCAAGAGGTATCAGACCATTCTTACAGCAGTATGAGCTCCAATGAAGTCGTCTCAATAGTCTCGTGTTGAGAGTGAGGAAGTCTCATGTCAAGAACCTCTTCAAACAATTTCAAATCATTTTTACGAACTTTGCGATGCTCAAAATTCTAGAGTAGCTATATCGGGTGTTTTATTGTACTTCCCATACCGCTTTCCGGACTATTTTTTGTGAGAAAATATAACCAATGAATTACAATTCGTCCTTCGATTTCGCTCATGTCTCCTTCCAATTTTGGCAACAGTATGACATCGGAGATGCCAAATTCCGATGCGATGTATGGAGCGAGATCCATGTGAAGCGCTGGTGTCACATATACCACTGGGGCACCCTGAAACATTTCAAGTTTTATGGTGAAGCATAAGTCCAGCAGCTATCATCTTACCAACAGACTTCAAGGTTTTACTGAGTTATAATTATCCTGTTCTAATTTTTCATGTAACATTTTTTGAAAAAAAAAAACGACTTGATTTCATCAGTATCTGTTTTTATCCATTTGAATCAACCCAAAAAGGGCGAAAGATCACAAGTAGAATATCTCTATGCGTTTGAAGTGCTCTACAACATATGAGTATCGATTTTTTTTGTCCAAAACACAGAAACATCCCTAGGCAAGGCTAATTATTGATGCCCAGATCCTTTTTTCCAGTCATTTTCTGAAGCGAGTGCGAATACACGCAAGTCGTATTCCTTCTCACTCACTCACGCTCACTTATTATTTAATTCCGTACCTTGAGAATGTTTTTTTAAAATCTTATTAATTAATTACTTTGGACATTTTTCCTTCTTTTCACCAATTATTCACGATTAGAGAACTGAAAGGGTCTCGTGATCGTCAAAAATTCACAAGGACCTGAGAAGCACGAAAGATCTCCACATTTACTGAGGAGGCACCTCATGAAAACTGCCCGTTTCTTATGATTTCAGGATTTTTCAGATAATGCCATCACCTTTTCCACGAAAGCTTTCCATCCTTTGGTCATGTAGTCACTACCATAGGTGTCCTTAAGTGCCAGACGAATTGCGTGTCCTGAAAAGCTCGTAATATGATATTGATTAGATTTTACTGAAAGCAGGGAATCATTCATTGAATTAATTGCCAAATATGAATAAAGCACGCAGACAAACCAACCTATTCCATTCCTGACTGACAGAGCTAATGTTGCCTCTGGTTCTGAGCAATGAATATTTGATTCTGGAAATCTGCAACGAGGACATGCAAATCAATTCTGTCAACACTTCACCAACTATTTTTCACTTCAATAGTGGTGAAGGAGGAGGATAAAGGACGGCAAAAAACAGGAAGACGTGCGTTAGGAACGATTTTGGGTAATCGATCCGCCGCACGCGGCTGTCGCGGACCACTCATTCGCCGTTAGTACAGCTCTAGCGTTCTTCATACAGCTCAATCGATATGCGATCATAATTTTAAGCATAATTCTACTATTAGTACTTTTGTTCTTGTATTNTGCTGCATCCTGCTACATTCCTTCGCGCGCGACGCCCCTCTCACCGCGACGCGACCATTTCGTTCCCAACGCACCACACCCCAAAGAACACCAAGAGAGGTTGCGAGCGGTTGCGCCGCGGCTTCGCTTGAAGGGCCGTAGTGGGGCTGTAAAATGTAGGGGACCGTTATTATCGTGTCTGGAGTTTTCTTCGAATTCTTCCGGGAAACCAAAAAAATCGCGAAAGCAAGAAAAAAGATCTGCTAAAAAAATGCTACATTGGGAAGTCGTTCAGCCTTGCCTCATTCTCGAAATCGCTTACGAGCCCACACTCAAGCTTGCCGTACAGATACCTGGGTTTCGAGTATACCGACGTTTTAGAAATTGATATAAAAGAAGTAATTTCAAGGTCAGTTACCTGAACTGCTGACTAAGAGCCTGACTAGTGTTCCCATAGAGCCATGATGCGATACTCTGTCTATGGTGACTGTTTAATAAGTCAATGTAAGCCTTGAGTGAAGATGAAGTGACCAATGTTCTTCCAAGATCGGATAAGCGCTGATTTTCCCGTGAGCTAAATTCAATATAGTTCTCATTTAAAGATAAATTGTGATACACACTAATAAGATGTGATATCCACAACAGTCCATTAAAATGTGCTGGACCTGCACAGGTTGCGCCACATGTAGTGGAAGCCAATCAATAAGCACACTTTACATTATGTAGCACGAACTCCCGCTTGATAGAATAAGTATGAAAAATCGCGAAAATTCACCGAGTTTTCGATAGCTGAGGATGGCCACTTGGTGGTGTATCTCTACCGACCCATTCATCGGAGATGATCAACTGCTGGAGCTGTTCAAGTACCGGTGACACATTACTTTGCGACATTCGCGAACTTTTTCGTGACAGGGATTTCGCCTTAAGTAGTAATGATTAGTAGTCGGTCCAAGATTGAAGTGAAGTGATCATAGACTTAATTAAACGGTGATAAATAAACGTAGATGAAGGATATAATGACCTTACTCGGTTTTATGGAAAGGGACCCCGGCGAGATTGAACCAAATAGGCAAGAGGTTTGCATCTATACGATAAAATCGCCTCCTATTACTGTTTTATGCACACCTTGACTCGCGGGTTCCCAAAAATGCACTTGAGTAGTCAAGCCTAATAACCGCCCTGAAGAATCTGGCAGAAAAATATGTGAGCTAATAAATAATCGAATATGGCTATTGAGGTTGAGGGACATAAATTTTGTGGCCCTGATCTAATTTCTATGGTGATTTGTGGTGGAATATGAAAATTTTAAGGGCTACTGATATTGGTATGAGTACAGCTAGGTAACCAGTAGGTACTACTTTAGTTTTCTTTCTCACATACCGGAACGCCGTTCTTCGTTGATGACCCATCTTCTAATCCGCTATCATTGGATTTCGTCGAAGACGTTTGTGAGCCAGGACTATGTTGCAGCTGTTGATCGATTTTGCTGGAAAATGCAAAACTTTGCGTGTTCAATAAATCAATAACACGTATCATTTTAAATGTACCGCTTTCCATTTGATTACTTCCTGGTTGACATTTTTATCTCACTAGCGGAAAAGTTAGCATGGTAAAAAAAAAAGATGAAAAGTTCTAGTCATGCCAGTTTAAGTTGATTGACGCTGTATTAAACAAAGAAGGAGATTAGCGAATATAAAATAATGTTGCTTTTCATATGAAACCCAGTTTTAACAGCGTAACAAGGAAATGGGTAGAAGTATACCAGTGGTTAAGGGCGCTACTGCTACCCCTACGGCCAAAGGAACGATTCCACATTAGCCACCAGTGCTGGCAGTCTATAAAAGTTTGATTATTTAGTTCCAAATTGTTTGAAAAGTTGAAAACAGCCATTGAAATTGCCTGTATAGTAAATCAAAATATTAAGCAGGTAGAGATTTGCTTTTTGTGGAGATTTTTCTTTGACGACGTAACTACGCGCGATCGGGAGCCGACGCGATTTTCGGGAAAAATTACCCACACCCGCTCGTTACAGAAATATACAACCAAATTCTCAATTCGAATAGAAAGCATATTTGGCACAGTTTTTTTCCAGTTTACCTCGTAAACTGAATGGAATTACATCGCTTACCAGTAAACCCGGGAACGGGTAAATACCGTATCCCGATTCCCGGTTGAATAGACATCGAGGAGTACCGGATTATGAAGGTTATTCTGATCCTCAGGGCCCGACTATTCTGGGTGTCTCAAAGAAACGCCTATTTCCGATTTTTGCAAACTCGAACCCGTATGGTCCTCACATGGAGCACTAGGAACCCATGAAAAACCGTGCTTGGCGAAGTTTCAATATGAGAACCATGAAAAATTCATGAATTAATTGGATCAATACCGTCCAAGTATAAGTTGTGTAACTAAGTAAGTATTGTCATAGGCCAAATGAGGGGGCTAATGGATAGGGGCCATTAGACTTGGAAACCGGAATTTGTTTGAAGCATGAGAACAAAAGTGCAAAACATTGTCCATCCTCATTGCCACATTCACCACAATGCTTTTGAATGATTCAGTACCTTTAGAAGACAAGCTGGCTGTTTCAAGCCAAAAAGGGCAACACGACGAAACTGAAAGTGTTTTGCGTAAATCAAATCAAAGTAAATTCAAATTTTCCGAATCTGCCTAACCAGTTAGCACGATTGGGTGGTGGTGCAAATTTTCCCTTTTACAGGATTATAACTGGCATTTATAGCACCAATACTGCTCAGTTTACCACCAACCGAATAGCCTGAGGGGGGAATGAATGCCATGCCAACGATGTACTTATCCGATAGCAGTAGATTCATATCCAATGAAAATATCTCTGTAACCTAACTCTACTACTACTCCACGAGTAATTCGATACTTATTCATAATAAAAAACTGTTTAAAGGCAAGTTTATAGTAGTAAATCGATAAGATGTGAAGATTTAGATGTGCTACTACTTACGGATGCTTCATGCAGTACACCTGTTGGTGGCAACGAAAAAATCGTCTGTATATTTAAAGGTGAGGGAGGCGGAATTAGGGGAAGGGTGTGAAGGGACGGTGATAGGTTTCGAAGCCGGGGCTGGATGTAATCGGAAATTCATAGCGCCTCAATCTGCGTGGAGTTGACCATATCCCATGGGATCGAGTCAACACGAACACCACCAGCCTTGGCGGCTTTCCTTCTGCTCAAAACTTAAAACCCACATCGTCAAACTCCGCCCCTCCCCCGTCAGTGTTACCCAGTTGCATGACAAACACTAACATAATTACATCCCTATACAAGACCGTTTTGAAAAAAAAATGCGAGTCTGACTGGGGGGGGGGGGGGGGCAGCATTGAAGTTAGGGAAGGCACAGGAAATGTATTTTGACTGCTACCGAACACAAACATTTGACCCAAATGAAGCACTCGATGCACCAAAAAAGCTCATTTTACTATTCAAAAATGGAAAACAATTTTAATTCGCCATTAATGGCCTTCCTATAGATCTATTGCAAATGACAAAAACTTCGCAAAGGGTTTCTCCTAACGTCCTAAAGTCCTAACGGTCAACCGGACCATGATCTCTATATCATAGTCTATAATTTGCTGAGAAATTGATTAAATTCTTTTAAAGTAATAAAGAAAAAACGATTACGTGATGCTATGCAGGGCGTGTGACGTACACGGTAGACTGAGGGATGATATCATTAATGAGTAAGAGACGATTGTTCGTGATACTGTCGGGAAGCTGCTGCTGGTGATGCTGTAGAACTACTAGAGAAACGCAACTGAAACGTGCACGTTCTTAGAGGCCGATTGTTAGACAATTCAGCAGAAATAAAGGTGAGAAAGAAATGTTTGAAACGTCAAGATGGACGGCGGACGGCAAAAAACGGGAAGTGCACAGCCAGCCTGCACTAAGGGGCAGCCACGATGATCAAAGAAGATATACGTCAGCGCGAAAGGCTTGACTGCTGCTCCCCTTCGACAGCACGACGACGGAGGACGGACATCAACGAGAAGGGATTCACTACGGCCGTCCGTCGCGATGATAGGTGTGAAGGAGAGGCGTGCGTCGTCAATTGGATAACGGCCCGAAGGCTGGATAGGCCCTCAATCAGCCTATTTCAAACCTAATTCTATAACGAAGAATAGGGGAAAAGCGTAGTAAGGTAATCGAAGGGTCGTCGATCATCTTTCGCTACACTTATACTTGATTCCTTAGGGGAAGAAAAGGGTGATTGTGAACAGAGAAGGGGGGAAGGGTGTCTCATCATAGCCATACGAAATGAAATAAAGCCTTCAATGAAATGGCGTTGTAGACACCCTATTGAAAGGAGGGGGATCGAGCACGCTGCTAGAGAAGGGGAGGAGCTCCTTGCTACAGCTCCTATTCCTCCTTCACTCTTGTTATGTGGTACTTGATGAGACTAGTACCTCTTGAAGCGTCTCATATTCACTAAATTATACAATTAGAGACCGACGAAGAGGAGGACTCTACCATCGGACAGGAAGAGACGTCACCAGCTCATTTTTGAGCAGCCGTCTACACAGAACAACTAAATTAATCCAAAAGCTAATGTCTCACAAGAAATTGGGGTAAATATTCATAAGGAAACCTAAACAATGCTACAGGGACCCTTTCTTGACTTCTATCAGTCAAAATGCCGAAGAAGGTTTACCTGGCTGAAGTTGTAGAACGAAATCAATGACCTATTGGGCCGAGGGTAAGTACCCACATCCTCATACATGGATTAGGGCCAAAATCGCAGAGGATTAACTTTCGTGATATAGTAATGTAAAAGTAAAGCGAACCGAAATGGTGTATTAGGTTAGAACAACTAGTAGGGTAGGCGCGGAACTAAAAAAACAATCGATAATTTGGAAAGTGGGAGATTTCTGTGTCAGGCTCTCCATGAGAACTGCTTTAGCACGATTTCGCCAAAAATTCTGCCTAGTTCAAGCAAATTTTGGGATATGATAATTGAGGACATTGGTAGATCTTTTTTCTTAGAAATCCACCCAATCAATACTCAGAAGTACAAACAAATAGAAAGTAAGTTCAACTTGAAACAAAGACGGATGTTCTTCAGCTGAGCTTTTTCCACATTCCGGAAGACTTGAGCATCAAGCTGCCTTCAACAAAATGTTGGACCACAAAGTTGACAAATAGTCTTTTATGGCCGTGGTGACGTGATCGAATAAGGGAGTCTGAGGCCTAAAGCATGTCCTAAGAGGTTCTGACAATCTGTCAAGTCGCCTTCAGGAGCCACAAATGATTGCCATTTTAGGCTGTTACAAAGGAAACCGTATACAATTTCCTCTATTTCCTCCCGTNACGACCTCAGACCTTGAATATCTTTAGACCCGATTAGTTTAAAGACATGCAGCGCCGTTTTCACTCCCATAGTCTGCGGATCTATCCCCACATAGGATGAGCCATGGCAATGACAAGGGCTTCCACAACAGCAGGGCCCTCCCTTCAATTATCAGTACTGAAGACGGGACAACGTGGAGAAAGGCATAAGTGGAAATTTTGAACGGGAGGGACGTCAAAGAAGAAACTCTTTAATATTCATGAAATTGTTAAACCATTACTAAGCCTACCCAATACAATATTTTACTGGACCGACTCGGCCAAACGTGCTCGCTTTGATCATTATCCTCCCTCTTCCCACTGAAAAACGAGGCATGGCTCTGAAGGAAGTTCCAGGAAGGAAGTTCACGAAGGGTATTGGATGCTGTTCCCTTTTTGTTTAGTGTAGGCGACCTCATTATCACAGAGTTTGAGCCGACGTTTCAGACTTCCTTTCTAACTTGTGAAGACAATCTTGCTTGGCTATGCAGAGTAAATAGTCCTCTGAGGGCAACTATTGGATGAAAATAAAAAT